GACCATAGTGGGTTTGATCGGGATCGTGTTAATCGTAAGTAATTTACGTGCGACAACTCTTCTGGAAAAAAAAAAGAATTAGACAGAAACATGTTTAAAATCATTATTAACCCCCTGTGCGAAATTTATGATATCTAAAACCGTAAGACGCTCTTTAAAAAAAGGATATTATTTATTTGCAGACATTTGCAGTTGGTGACGATCGCGTAAAGAACAAAGGAGGACCAAATAATACTTCGGCATGCAAGGTAAGTTATTTCACTTTTCTTTAATTCGCCTTTCTTCTAAAGCTGTTTCGCGCAAATGTTGCGAGGAATTCCTAAAACTTAATATGAATGAGTGTCCTAAAAACTTTAGGACTTAACTGAACTGTTCGCAGTTGAAAATGACCCTTGCGATAAAGCAGACGAAACTAACATCATTTATTCATCCTTTTGTGTTTGTTTTCAGGGAAACGCGTGTCCTAAACCACTCAGCTCCCGTCCAACCTCTTGTCTTTATTATCTGCTGCGAGGTGCCTCCAAATGCGGCATGTACAGGCTTTATGACTACAACGGAAACAGTTACCCAATTTTTTTGGCTCTATGGAGAGGTTAACAACAATGGCTTAAAACCGACCTGTGCATCAAGCTGCTGTGTGAGAAGCCTCGGTGTAAAGAGATAGTATACTACGATGACGACGATTCTTACATCAATAAGTATGTATTATTTGTGATTTATGCCACAAGCTTATGTTTATGTCAGTTATGTGGATGTCATTTAGTCAATGACGGTTAGAGGGTGTTGGTTTTGTTTTTCCTCTTTATTTCCTTCTTTTCTCAATGAGTTGTACACCTGCGCCCGCGATACAGTCACACTCTTTTTTAACGCTGTCAATTGACCATAAAATGGCTGTCAATATCAACACATTGGACTCCTCCCAGGGCTTTTTCCCACTCGGCTCTCGGAGCGACTGAGGAGACCGAGTAGGAGTGGACCAAAGCTGGTGTGAAATCTTACATTAGCTAACATGGAGGGCTGCCATACGGATGGACGATTTTGTCACAACCGAAATTCTTGGATGCATGGATAACCAAATTATATTACCCACGGCGCTCCGCTGCGCGCTTCGTTCACTCCAGATGCGAGAACGTCGCTTAAAAAAATTCCAAACTTTGCGTACTTTCCGCAAACCTCTGCGCATTGAAGCGTATGGTGGATCAAATTAGAGATTCCAGTGTTAAAAAAAAAAATAGGTGAGTAAAGTACATTGAAAAGTTAGTCACCAACATGTTTTTATTCTGGTGATAAAACGCGCTCTTTGGGCAATGTTATTCATTTTTCTAGACGGCTAGCAGTCTAGATTTTTCTTTTCCTTTTCTTGCGCAGTTTACCTGACGGGCTAAGAAGATCTAAAGGCTCCTTTTTCATATTTAGTGGCATTATCATTGATTGAGTATAAATTTTTCGTATTAAAATATGCAAATTGCTTACAAGGATGTTAACAGACATAGTTGCATCCTGATTGCCTGTCTTTATCGATGAATTTACTCGGGGCGAGCACCCAGTAGTCATGCAAGTTTTTGTTCCTTTTTGTGGGCACTTTGTGTCCAATTTTTACTTTTCTGTAAAAAAATGGCTTTTTAGAACTGATAAACAACACGAGAGAATTGTTACGGAGGCCGGTGCTCATCCCTGAAGGAGCCCTCCGGCTATAAACTCTTTTGTTCGCTTGAATCTTCCGTAAAACATGTTATGAGAAAGATGTTTTCATGTTAAGATTTATTTACCTCACTTTATTACATATAACATATCCGGAGCACCGCATATACTAGCTTCGGTGTTTGTGCAGTAAACTTCCAAGCAGCAAAAACAAAACAAAAACATCGCATTTCCCTGAATTTGACTAAGTTCCACTCGGTTTACGATCTAAGGCGAAAAACGGCGATGGCGGCATTTAAGACCATAGTGGGTTTGATCGGGATCGTGTTAATCGTAAGTAATTTACGTGTGCGACAACTTTTCTGGAAAAAAAAAAAAACGTTTCAAAATCATTATTAACCCCAGTGCCAAATTTATGATATCTAAAACCGTAAGACGCTTACAAAAAAAGGATATTATTTATTTCTTTAACAGACGTTTGCAGTTGGTGACGATCACGCAAAGAACAAAGGAGGATCAAATAATACTTCAGCATGCAAGGTAAGTTATTTCGCTCTTCTTTAATTCGCCTTTCTTCGGCTTTTAAGCTGTTTCACGCAAATGTTACGAGGAACTCTTAAAACTTAATATGAATGAATGTGCGTAAAACTTCAGGACTTAACTGAACTATTCGCAGGTGAAAATGACCCTTGCGATAAAGCAGACGAAACTAACATCATTTATTCATCCTTTTCTTTGTTTTCAGGGAAACGCGTGTCCTAAACCACTCAGCTCCCGTCCAACCTCTTGTCTTTATTATCTGCTGCGAGGTGCCTCCAAATGCGGCATGTACAGGCTTTATGACTACAACGGAAACAGTTACCCAGCTTACTGTGATTTGACATCTGAGCCAGGTACTGCATGGACACTGGTGATGTCATGGAGTGTTGCCAATCGCATGCTTTACCCGTTTCGCGGTCTTCCTTTCAAGTACAACGCACCACTGAACGAGAATTTCCTGAATTGGAACGTATACCGCTTGAATCTGGTCCGAACTGAATCCCTTAAGACTCACTCTACCCACTGGCGAGCAACATGCAACTACCCTACCCTCGGCGTCGATTTCAGAGACTACCTCCGAGGCAACTTCAAAGACTTTGACATCGTTGATTTTGTGGGTGCTGGCGCGTGCAAGAAGGTTGACTACATCAACATCCGGNTGTTTTCAGGGAAACGCGTGTCCTAAACCACTCAGCTCCCGTCCAACCTCTTGTCTTTATTATCTGCTGCGAGGTGCCTCCAAATGCGGCATGTACAGGCTTTATGACTACAACGGAAACAGTTACCCAGCTTACTGTGATTTGACATCTGAGCCAGGTACTGCATGGACACTGGTGATGTCATGGAGTGTTGCCAATCGCATGCTTTACCCGTTTCGCGGTCTTCCTTTCAAGTACAACGCACCACTGAACGAGAATTTCCTGAATTGGAACGTATACCGCTTGAATCTGGTCCGAACTGAATCCCTTAAGACTCACTCTACCCACTGGCGAGCAACATGCAACTACCCTACCCTCGGCGTCGATTTCAGAGACTACCTCCGAGGCAACTTCAAAGACTTTGACATCGTTGATTTTGTGGGTGCTGGCGCGTGCAAGAAGGTTGACTACATCAACATCCGGGGATATAGGGGCTTCCATCTTACGGCACCTTTCTGGCAGGTTATACATAAATGGAGTTTGCACACTGACAGTAGCCTGAGCACCAGCTGTGACTTTAAGGCCGCGAGGACTGGTGCGGTTTCCAGTGAGGACAACTTTGGCCACTATGGGGTCATCAACTCCAAGTTCCGCTGCACACAGGGTCCCCGCTCGACCACCCAGTGGTGGTTTGGAGCTCATCTCTAATCATTACAGAGGTAAAAAAACCACAGCAGAGGTCACAGGACTAAAACACTGTTCGTCGATGATTGAAAACAGAATCTTGTAATCTGTTTCATGATGATTTTAAATAAAAGTGTTGAAAACAGTCAACCAAAGTGTACAACACCTTTACTTTTTTATGAACATACCAGTTAAATGAGATAACGCAAGACTTGATTTAAATTTGTAAACAAAAAACTTTTTCACCGGTTTCATCGATAAATTCTTTTTAACAGACAAAGGTTTACCTCTAATAACTGCCAAACCGAATTTCGTAGCCTTGTTCGAGTTGTCGACAACCACCTCTTCGTTTATTTTTGTGAGACGTCTATAGGTCATGAGAACAGAGGAAATGATCAGCAAAGATAAGCGTGAAGATATTAATATGTAAACAAATTCTCATCTCTAGTTCCCTTTCTGATTAAGAAATGCGTGAAAAACAGCGACAAGAGCCTGTGTTTTAAAATTATTAAGGCTTAAAGGATCGGCTTTTATCGTCCGATCAATCTTTGTTCCTCTTTCCTTTGTTACGTTTTGTTTAGTTTGTCCTAAATTCCTGTCAACCTTACTGATGTCCCCTAGACCCTCTACAGTTTCAGTTATTTGTCGTGTTGTTCTTTCTGCTTAACTAATTCTCGGATAACCACCGCCTCGTCGCAAAACTCAAAGTTGCGACCACCGGCTACTGTTCATCCTTTTCCACGAGATTACGCGCGGCATCGGGCATTTATAAGTACAGTTTCATACTGATAAGATATCTTAAAGTACAGGTATATTGGTGATATAAGATTTTGCTTGGGTGCTTACTTAAAAAGACTACTACTCATCGACAAAATGAACGTTAATTGGCAAAGAAGCAATCTAAGCGTCTTGGCCTTGATTCGCATCAATTCACTTGTATCTTTGTAAGTGATTCGCGTTTTTATATAGTGCGGTGAGTATCGCCTGGGGCTCGAGTAAAGAAGATATACTGTAAAAGAAAATCGGTCCGGTTTGTCCCTTTTTGCTGTGCTACTTTTTTAATCTCCCACGTGATTTTTAAATACCCGGCAAAAAAAGCAGTAAAGTTTGATAATAAGAAATCACAAAGAGTCAGGAATGGATTCTTGTTACGGTCCAAAAATACTGCGCAGTTTTAAAATGTACATGTTTAAGGGAGTATTTTGGATTGAATAAGTGAAAGCCTTAAAAAAGACTCGAAAAAAGCTCGTCTACGCTGCTCAAGATGCAATGTTCCTCGCAACTCAATGAAAATGCAAGTTCAGAATATCTTTAAAGCGCAAAGATGCCGATTATTGCTTTTAGCGGTTTTCTTTCATTCAGTTTTTCAAGGCAGTTTCACGGCTTCTTTCCCATATTTTTGTTAATCACCGCTTTCGACGTGAAATTCATTCCGCGCGTTTTGCCCGATTCACACCTCTTTTTCTCATCATGCAAAATTGAATTGATCCACTTTGATTAGTGTGCGAAGACATTTTTATTCAAGACCTCTAAAACACTACAGGGTACTTTGTTACAATTCTTTGGCCCACTGAAAGACTGTTGTGCCCGTAACAGATTAAAGGTGAGCTCCAAACCACCACTGGGTAGAGGACTGGTCTCCCTGAGGCCGTCTCCATACCAGCCAAAGTTGTCTTCACTTGACGCCGCACCAGATGTCGCCGTCTTGAACCAACAGTGGGTGTGGGTACTGTCGATATGCAATGTCCATGTATTTAGCTTCTGCCAGAAAAGCGCCGTCAGATCCGTACCCACGTGTCCCCGGATGTTGACGTCTTCCACTTTCTTGCACTGTCGTTCTCCAACGAAATCAAAGATGTTAAAGTCCTTGAAATTTCCACGGAGGTAATCTTTGAAGTCGATGCCGTGGGTCGGGTAGCTGCATGTGGCTCGCCAGTGGGTGGAGTGAGTCTGTAGGAATCTCATTCGCGCCAGACTAAGGCGGTAAAGATCCCAGTTTAGGGCGTCTTCGTTTTGTGGGGAATTGTACTTAAAGGGAATTTTGAAAAATGCCGAGAGCCTTCGATTTACGGGAGTCCATGACATCACCATAGTCCATGCAGTGTCTAACTCGGACTTCATGTCACAGTAAGCTGCGTAAGTTTTTCCAGTCTGGTCGTAAAGTTTGTATCTGCCACTTTGGGAGATCCCACGGCGCAGATAATCAACGCAGGAGTTTGGACGGAATCTAATTGGCTTCTTTGGTTCCTTTTGTCCCTTTATGGTTTTGTTAGAACAAACAACACCTTAGTGGCAGAGAATGAATGAGACTTTTTAAAGCAAGATATGCCAAATACTGAATTTTCTGCAGAAAACAGATCAGTTGTCTTGTGATCTGGTCATTTTAGCAAAGAAAGGTTACTTAATCCTGTCATGAAGATCCTTGCGAGAGAAGACGACATTTTTTAAGAGAAGACTCAGGGAGGCCATCGAAATATATTGTCGCGCTCCAGCATTGAACAGGGACACTGGTTAGGAGCTCCTCGCGATCGACCGTAACGACTTGTCACTGTATAAATCACGTGACAAAACGTCCAACTCCATCACTTGATAAAGATTCCATGATGGAATCGAAAGCTTGTGTTGCTAATAAGTTTCCTATCCTGGGATTTACAACCTCATTCGGCTTTAAACTGATCATGTATTTTTAGTGTCAATTTCTGCTACAAAGTACGAACGGTCTTTTTTTTCGGTTTGATTTTAAGGAAAAGCACTTTGTTTCTACGAAGGGAAAACAAGAATACTATAGTGTCAGTTTTAAGACATTTTACCTGCGAATTGTGTCCATGTGAATTGTACCGCGTTATCTTGACGTGTGAACGACACACGTTTATATCACGTTTGTCCAGTCCTTCATCGCTAGAAACTTCTGCTCCCTGAAAAAAAAGAACATAGAGGAGGCTGGTTATGAAAGGCAACAAACATCAAATATAAAAACCACAGTGCTAAAGTTTATGTTGGAAGCTCCCTGAAGGTGCACAATCCTTTGTTTTCTTTTGGCAAATTGCGACGGAGTAAATTGATGCGACGTTTTTATTGGTCAGTAAGATCCAAATGCTAGGAATGCTATAAAACGTTGTGCACCGTCAGGTCAACAAAAACACATGACAAATGAAAGGCGTCTGGCGGGTTTCATAACCATTCCAATCTATTAACTATGAGAAGAAGGAACGAAAAACGAACAACACTTTGATACGGGCAACCAATGAGTACTGTTTTTAAAATATTTCAGATTTTGTTCTGGCTGATTGGAGCACAACTTTTTAATATCACCATTAAGTTCGGTAAGGGAAGAAAGCCTACGATTCACAGTCTGTCTCGTTTCATTTGGTTACACGGGTGAACCAACTGACTGATACTGGGCTCGAGATAAATTAAAAATTATGCGCTTTGCAAACTCAGCAAACTGAGATTTTAAGAGCGACTCCGCGTAAATATCAACTAGACGTGGAAATAGTCAAAACATGACCTGGCCTCAAACTCAGCCAGAATAAAGCCCTATGGGCTCTACTTACAAAATCGTTGGTTTAAGTACGATCGAGTGAATAATATTTTTTTAACGAATTTTTTTCTTCCCGAGGCCTAAAATGGGCAAAAATCATGCGAAATTAGAGTCATATTCAGTAACTCGTAAATTTCACAATAAAGTTGGCAACTAAAATATAATGACACTTCGTATTTTTACTATCTTTCCTCTATAATTTTAACTGATTAGTTCGCGATTTGGTCAACAAGAGATTTTTAAAGAAATTTTCAAAGTTGTTGACTCAAAATCGCTTAATCAACCGTCAAAATTTAGCACTTTTTCACGAGCTAAAAAAGCGGATTGGTACATGGCTTTGAACACCAAGGCTTGTTTAGTCTGAAAGAGAATTCTTTTTTCTTCAAATTAGCGAAATAAAATTTTTGGGTAAATGAAATCACGAGCGCTCACAAAGCCAAGCAAATGTAAATATTACACTAAAAACGGGCGAAAAAACGTGACCTCTGACCGAAGCACAACCAAATGCGAATTATGGTAGGCGCCAAACCTTTAATTATTCGGTAACTTCTTGAGGCGATATTGGTCCGAAATGTGTATAAATTTTTTTAAATAAAGCTGAGTTAAAGTATTAAGTGTCAAAAAGTCCACAAAGCGGTAAAAAAATACGACAAAAGTCACGAATAATCTGTTCCCTGTCCTGAATTTTACGCAGCGATTTATGCGATTTAACGAATTAACAATTTTTAATCCAACGATACCCACCTGAGACTGTGTTAGTTTAAGAGTCCATAGAACTTCTCAGACGATTCCTCGGAAAGACCTCCAGAAGGAAATGAAGGAAAAACTTGAACTTATAACTGCAACAACTTCACTTGCCGCAACGGCAAAACGAAAACAACTGTCGAACTGCCACAGGCAAACTAGCTTTCAGTGGAGTTATGCAAAGCATGTCACGTCATGTAATTCTGCCCCACGCATTTGGGAAGGAGTGAAGAAATTCTTCCATGCTGTGCGCTAAAACATTTATGAAATAAAACAAGCTTTGGAATGTATCTTTTGCAACTAGTTAAAGAAAAGAATAACTTTTTCCCCTGTTTTTGCTCGAGGGGCGCTGTGCACTTCTTTTATTTTATCTGCTGTTTATAATGATTGTGTTTCAAGTTCAGAACGTGCATCTATAGCTAGCAATTGGTGTGTTCGAATTTATACCGAATACTGTAGAAAGGATATCAAAGGGCACCAAAGCAGTGGCGGATCCAGGGGGAGGGTTCGGGGGGTCCGGACCCCCCATCAGACCCGATACTTGTTTGAGACTAAAATCCTTACAAAGATAGGATTGCATGTCACTGTTTTAACTGGCTGAATTTTTTAATGAAACGCGTGTTGTAATTTTCCACTAAACTAAATTCCAGGGATATTAAAAAATGTGATTGTAATTGGGTACCCTCCAATGATCTGTTCGTCTCTGCTCGCAAAGCAGTATTTCCTGCGCCAATGGCGACTGGCTTTCACAGATTGAGAAACACGTAGTCGTCTCTGCCTTATCAGTGACTAGTGGGAGGGGGTGTGGGGGAAAGTAATTTGCCCCCAAAAAGTTCAATAGTCCTTTCTGAACCGAAATTTGGACCTTCTCACCACCCCCCCAATGAAAAATTCCTGGATCTCCCCCTGGCAAAGATGTTACTCTGAGTTCGGAGCCAATCAAGGCTTATGCTGGTGCGTGCAAGAAATCAATTTTTTTTAAGAGGCTCACTTGTAGGACGAAAAACAGTATAATTTTATTTATGTAATATCAAAATTGTGCCTGATCATGTGTATCCTAGAGGAACAAGAGACATATTTGTTGCGAGCCTTTCTAATCATTCGGTTTCCTGTGGTTCGGTGGTTCCTTGCGTTGAAACATCCCGACTAAAAGCCAGCAACAGGGAATGAGCTCTTCGGAAGCCAATGAACTAGTGGCCACATTCGGATCTCAAAAAAAGATTTGGACAAGTTGAAAGGACAAAATCGAAGGAACTGAGCGGCGAAAAGAGAAAAGAAAGCCAGTACAAACAAACGAAAACACATGATATCATTTTTTCCGATATTAGTCCGTTTGGAACACGAACCTTTGTCGTGGGCTGATACTGTGGGGTCGTTACAAAAATTGAATTTAAAACTAAAGTACATAATTATGAACAAAATCGGTGATTACAAAGGTAGTCTATTAAACCTGAACTGACGCAAGTAAGGAACCAAAAATAACGACCTGGCCCTGGTTGATCAACCGACCGATCATTTTTCTAACGGATACCGTGTGGAACGAAATTTTTGCAGGAGTTTATTTTTGCGGATTGGCGGTTTTTTGTGTTTTGTGAGAACTAATTTTTGCGATTAGGACAGACTTGTTTTTCTTGCTGGGGATCATTTTTTGCGATTTCAGAAAGAACCCAGTACCCAGCACTGATAATATTGTAGTTTTTATTGAGTACGTGCAATAGAAATACATATTTTCAAACAACACTAAGTGTGCGTCAGTATTTTTCTGAAAAAAAGAGACCAGTTGTGATTGAACAGACACGATTTCTTGGTACTGTATTCTTGTGTAGTGAATTTAAGTTAGATCATTCAGTATTTCCAGGGGCACCCAACGAAAAATATACTTCAAAACCACTTAAACATAAACGTATTTTAGTATTTAAACGGTAGACATAGGCATATTTTTATCCCCTAAAAATTTTTCATCTGTTCGGATTTCCTAGCTGAAAGTCTAGTGATCCGAAAATTATAGGGATCAAGACTTACCTTTCGAAAATTTTAGCCAGAAAATAGGCTCCCGAAAATTCTAGGAGAACTTTTTAGGGTAAAAATTAGTTAAAAATGGGCAAGTATACCATTTTTTATTTGTTCGAAAATCCTAGGAGAGGCATGGAAGCAAGAAATTTTACAACAAATGTTCCGAAAATTCTAGATCTCAAATCGTCTTCTGAACAGATATTTTTCCGAAAATTGTTGTTGGGTGCCCCTGTATTTCCTCTAGAGTAAGTTTTTGCGGGAAAAATTTGTGCGGTAATTTTTATTTGCGGGAACTTATTTTTGCAAAGTACTGACAGTCATGAAATCCTATCAATAAAATTCAGCCGTGAGTGAAATAGTGAAAATGACAAGAAGTCAGAGGGTAGAGGGGAAAAAATAATAACAGATCAGTCCACTGGGTTTAAAATTGTTTAGCCTGGCACTTTTGTGTAAGCGAACGGGAATGACATATTTATTTGTTCTGGAGCGATGAATTTTTTTAAAAGCACGGTTCAAAGCAAAAATTTACCAAAACTTTAACTGAGAGCCATTGCTAGATTCTATGGCATTTTTTCTCGTTCCTTTTTTTCTAGTTCTGTTTGGTCACATGAACCGTGATGTCAGCTTTTTAAGTTAAGATAACCATGTTTAGGCTGTTGTGGACATGTCTCATATTATCTCAGTCGTGACAGATGAAACCTTTATTACACTTGGGTTCAAATGTTATTACGGATCATTTATTACACTTGGGTCCAGTTATTACATTTGTGCCTTCCACAAGTTCCACTGACAAGAAATCCGGATCCCTGAAGTGAATTTGGCCTAAGAGGCAACCAAACATTTAGCCTCCTTGATGGCATTTTCAGGGGAGTCATATTTTCCCATTTATACCAGTCTGTAAATAAAGCGAAGGTCAAATGAAAAAATTGAGGCTAACGTTGTTGAGATCAAAGATGAAAAAAAAATTCCCACTTTTCGTTTGTGGGGATGCTCATCAAGTCCAAGATTATATCGGCGGAAGAGGCACCTTTGCCCTCAAGGGAGGGCAAAGATAAAACAGTCCAAAGCTAGTTTTATTTCATAAATGTTTTAGGGCACAGAATTACGTGACGTGACATGCTTTGCATGACTCCACTGAAAGCTGGTTTGCCTGTGGCAGTTCGACAGTCTGATGGGGGGTCCGGACCCCCCGGACCCTCCCCCTGGATCCGCCACTGCTTTGGTGCCCTTTGATATCCTTTCTACAGTATTCGGTATAAATTCGAACACACCAATTGCTAGCTATAGATGCACGTTCTGAACTTGAAACACAATCATTATAAACAGCAGATAAAATAAAAGAAGTGCACAGCGCCCCTCGAGCAAAAACAGGGGAAAAAGTTATTCTTTTCTTTAACTAGTTGCAAAAGATACATTCCAAAGCTTGTTTTATTTCATAAATGTTTTAGCGCACAGCATGGAAGAATTTCTTCCCTCCTTCCCAAATGCGTGGGGCAGAATTACATGACGTGACATGCTTTGCATAACTCCACTGAAAGCTGGTTTGCCTGTGGCAGTTCGACAGTTGTTTTCGTTCATTGCCGTGGCGGCAAGTGAAATTGTTACAGTTAT